TGGCTTTAAGAAGCACAGAGAACCGAAAAAGAATAGCTTGCAGGGAATCGACAAGGCCGGAAGAGGAGGTGATTTCCACGGCCACTGTAGCACGGTTGCGATGCCCTCACCTCCTTGAGGAACGTCCTCTGGGTTTCTTCATCAAAACGGATCAACTCCTTCATAACCATTACCTCTCCGGTCTCCCGGTGAGTCACCTGTCAAAGGAAGTGGATGCCGTTGATTGGCAGAGAGGGGAAAAACAAGCTAGAGGGCCTTATCAATATTCTCATAGTCACAGGGGAGACGTTCCTGACTGCCACTGGAAATCCCACCCATCCCCAGGACTGAGTCATGTGACGGGGGAAGAAAACTCAACACAGCTTGCTCTGTCCGGGGCTATCAGCCTCAGTTGGGTCAGTGTCCCCCGTTTCCCCTGTCCCACACCAAATGTCCTCTTTTCACTCTTTTCCGGTGGCGAGGGTGCCTTGGGCTACACGTGTGCCACATTTCAGCTTTCTAGCTGGCGTGGATGTATTTTGACCACTGGGGGAGCCTATTTCATTTCCCCTTTCCTCATTTCAAAGAGGAAATGGCTCGTTTCTCCAGAGCAACTTGGGCTGAGAACACCACAACTGCCAGGTCTCCAGCTGCAAAGGGGCCAAGGCGTACCTTGATGGCCTGTCCAAAGCAGCCTTTGCCCAGCACTTCGCCGTGGATGAGGTCCGAGGGGCGGAAGATGCGGTGGAGGCGCGAGACGACCCGCAGCGATTCAGAGCGGCCGATGTCCTTCCGTTGGGAGGCAGGAGAGCTCAGGGAGCTGGAGCACGGAGACTTGTCAATACTGCAGCTGCGCCTGTGTAGAAAAGTGGGTCTCACTCGAGTACGGTAGCACCTTAGAGACCAATACGGGCTATTTTGGGGCAGGAACGCACAGGAACGGAGTTCCGGCTGGCTCCCGAGTTGGCCACACCCAGCAGGAACTCATTAGCATAATAGGCCACACCCAACAGCAGAAACACATTAGGATTGGCTACATTAGGGGTGTGTGGCCTAACATGCAAAGGAGTTCCTGCTACAAAAAAAGGCCCTGGGTTTGGACAACAAACAAGGTAAGCAGAATAAGAAGCAAAAGGTGGGTGTGGCTGGTTGAGCACACTTCTGGTAACATGGGGGTGTGGCCTAATAGGCCAATGAGCTGTGCTGTCATGGGTGTGGCCTAATATGCTAATGAGTTCCTGCTGTTGGGTGTGGCCTATTATGCTAATGCGTTCCTGCTGGGCTTTATCTACAAAAAGAGTCCTGGGTATAAACGTATACCCTGAAAATCCCGTTGGTCTCTAAGGGGCTACTGCAGTTAAAATCTAGCGGTACCAAACTGGCAGTTGCCCCTTTGGCTTCCTGCCCACACTTACCAAGAAAAGGAATGAATTGTTCTTGGTCCACCTCACCCTCCCAAGAGAAATAAAAGGCTACTGGGTGGAGATGGAGGTCCCCCCCCCCCGTTTCTCCTTGCCTTCCCCTTCCCACGACCCCCTGCAGAGAAGCCTTACATGACGGAGCGCTGGCGAATGGCTGCCGGTTCCGGGCAAGGCGTGCGGCTGGGCGAGTGGAGGGGGCTGTGCAACTCCGAGAGGGGGCTGCTCTCCAGGATCTCGTGGGGGTCATGTTCAATGGTCAGCTGCAGCAGGCGACTGGTCTCCTGGATCAGCAAATCAATCTGCAGGGGACAGAGAGGGCAGGCTGGATGACCGGGCGAGCGTACTCCCGCTGGGTGCCGGTCCAAGCATGAGACCCCACGAGGAGAGGATGGAGCGACTGATCAGGATAGAAGAGAAAGGTGGTATATGATAACAGCGGCAAGAATAGTATATGCTCAAAGCTGGAAACAAGACAGGATTCCAGATGTTGGGGAATGGATTAAAAAACTGCTGTTTATTCCAGAAATGGACAAAATGACCAGGAAACTCAGAAATTTTGAGGCGGAAGAATTCTTTGAAGACTGGAATGATTTTAAAGACTATCTAGAGAAATACTGGGATGTTAAGGACAATTTGATTTGCTTTGTAAACTATTAGGTAAAGATAGTAATGAAATACAAATTATGTATTAGAATGGACGCTTAAAGAATATAAGTTACCTAGAATGTTGTAATAACAAGATTTAAACAATTAAGGATTTAAGATGTGAGCGGGTGGTGAGAGCGTTGTGGGAAGCCTATAAGGGGGGGGGGAGTAAGAGGAAATGGATATAGACAGAAACTGATATATGTGAAATGTGTGTTATCCAAATAAAAATTGTGTTTAAAAAAAACAAAAGGATAGAACAGAAAGGTCACCTCATCCAGGGGGACGTGACGGATGGGCGTGCCGTTGATCTCCAGGATGCGGTCACCAACGTGGATGGAGTTCTTCATATCAGGGCTGATGCAGTCTGGGTCCAATCTGTTGTAGGGAGAGAGGTGGGGGATGGTTATTCCATTCGGCTTACGAGAATATTCCCCAAACTCAGTCCTGGGAGACCAAGATCGAGAGATTGATATGATGTGGTTGCTACAGTGTCAGATTAGGTCTTGGAGACCAAAGTTCAAATTCCCACTCGGCCAAGAAACTAACCGGAGGACTTTGGCCAGCTGCTCTCTCTGCCTGCCTAATCTACCTCGCGGGGTTGTTGTGAGGGTTAAATGGGCACAGGAAAACTATGCGTGCCGCCCTGACTGCCTTGGAGGAAGGAGAGGATAAAAACTTCACCTCAGAGCTGAAAATGGGTTTGCTCCCACAAATCCCCCTCTGCTATCAATCTGAGGCAGAATATCCTAAGAACATTTTTGTTCTATTTCATTTGATTTTTTTTATTTAAAACATTTCAATTCTGCCTTATCTACTCGAACTTCAGATGGCACCTATTTGTTTATTCTACGAATATTCATCAGATATTTGCCAAAAACAACATCAAATGCTATTTGATTTCAATATGAGGTATTTGATGACAGTTGAGAGTTGATGTGCCACTGTATGTACGTTGTACTCAATAGCTGACATGCAAGTGGACCTTTTCTAGTATTTGATTGATATACGATGAGCGTTTAGTATTTGACACCTGAAAAGAGGTTCTGTTTGAAGCAGATCAAAACAGTCAACAGGTGCCAGCAAGCAGGGTGTGACTTGCTAATTGTTTGTTGTTCAGTCGCACAGTCGAGTCCGACTCTTCACGACCCCATGGACCAGGTCACGCCAGGCCTTCCTGTCTTCCGCCGTCCTCTGAAGTTTGCTCAATTTCATGTGCATTGCATCTATGACACTGTCTAACCATCTCATCCTTTGCCGTCCCCGTCTTCTTTGACCTTCAATCTTTCCCAGCATCAGGGTCTTCTCCAGTGAGTGCTCCCTTCTCATTTGGTGGCCAAAGTATTTGAGCTTCAGTTTCATTATCTGGCCTTCCAGGGAACAGTCAGGGTTGATTTCTTTTAGGATTGACTGATTTGATCTTCTTGCAGTCCAAGGGACTCTCAAGAGTCTTCTCCAGCACCATAGTTCAAAAGAATCTATTCTTCGGCGCTCGGCCTTTCCTTATAGTCCAACTCTCGCAGCCATACATGACTACTGGGAATACCATTGCTTTGACCATGCGGACTTTTGTTGGCAGGGTGATGTCTCTACTTTTTATCATGCTGTTTAGGTTCGCCACCTGATATCATACACAAAACTCCAGATTTAAAATTTCTGCATGTGAAATGGGAAGATTTGGTGAATTTGGAAAAGCTGAAGATATTGGCTTCCGCTCGCATCACTGCAAATAATATTCTTTTCAGCTCAGTTTCACAAAACGGCCTGGTCACATTGGTTTGGATGAGAAGATCCTTGCAGCCTAGCGGGGTAGAGGAACTAGGGTGTTCCACTTCTCCCGAATAAGAACGAGACCAACTGCAGCCCAGCAAGGTGTACTTACTCTCGGACACGGACAGTGTGGGGGTGTTCCGAACCACCATGCTGGTCAATGGACACTGAGAAACCACGCCTGCCATCAGAACAGGCTGGGATGGACACGAGGGTGACCGTGTGTGGGATCCGGGTTCCTGGTGACTCTGGAAGCAGCTGATCCATCACCGGCGTGACCACCATCTGGTAGTAACAGTGCCCACTACAGGAGGAAGAGAAAAGTTATGCTGGTCACTTTCAAACACTGTGCTGGGATGCCTTATTGCATTTTGAAAGTTCCCGGAGCACGATGCAAGAAACAAAATTGGTTTGATGATTAAACACCATCAGCATGTCCCCTCTGATAGCAGGGAACCTGGCCACGCCTCTGCATTACCAGTAACAGGAGCCTCAGAGCGGAAGATTGCCTGTGTCTCTGTATGCAATAAGCACAGACTCATTGTACTGGGAGTGTTGTGTTTAATCTCTTTCCAATCGTAATCAAGAGGAAAACACCATGCAAACTTAGAGAAAGAGTAAGGGCGATTTCTCACTAGAGCTGCCTCGCGGCACAGCTGCCATTTGCCCCGACACAAGTATGTCAATTTCACACCCGAGGCTGTGGGGCTGCACTTTGACTTGCGGCTTCGCCCGATTTCCTCCACAGTCTCGTGATCCTGGTTTTTTAGGATCACGAGACTGCGGAGGAAATCGGGCGAAGCCGCGGGTCAAATGCAGCCCCACAGCCTCAGGTGTGAAATTGACATACTTGTGTTGGGGCAAATGGCGGCTGTGCCGCGAGGCAGCTCTAGTGAGAAATCGCCCTAAGTGTTCATTAGATGGGGTAGCAGCTGCACTTGTCTGTTGCAGTGGACTTAAGGCAAGTCCATCTCTTACCCCAATCATAGGACTGTTACTGAACAGGCTGTTCTGGAGGGGATGATTCCCTGTGCCTCTGCATGAGTCACTGTTCTGGGAGTGTTGAATTGAATGTCTTTCCAGTTATTAGTGGAGAGAGAAACAGTACAACCACTGACAGAAAGAGTCAATGTTCATTGACAAAACTAGGTGGGGTGTGAGCCACACTTGTCTGATACCATGAAGGCATTTGGGACTTAAGGCATCCTAGGGCTCTTACTGGACAGGCTGATGCAGTCTGCAGAGCTCCTCCTTCTAGGGCCTTTGAGTCTCCTTTCTCTTTACATAAGAAGATATTGAGTGGTTGATATTGCTGGTATAATATGCAAACGTCTGGCTCGCATTCCACCATGCAATAAGCATGCACTGGTGGAAGGGAGAACCTGTTCCACAAAGACCGCAAGGTCCACCTGGAGGTTGGTGTTGTGCGCCTCTGATTCCCTTCAGAACCCCCATCTGGACTCACACCTGGTGAAGGTCAGGTGCACGGCCTCTCACTGGGCAACTAAGCAGCCCACAATAGCTGACCCGACAAAACATCTGATGATCCCCTTAATGGGTCACAGGGACTTTCTTTTGCAATTGCTCCGGCAGACCCACCTGACTGCCCTTCTGGAATGTGTCCCCTGGGAAGAAAGTGTCATGAGACAGGGGAAGAAGCCACCGGTAGTACATCAGGTAGGAGACTCATAATTCTTATGCTCTGAGGTCGTTTTTAAGGTTAGACAACAGTGGTGTGTGTGTGTGTCCGTGTGTGAGATGTGGATCAGCGCTACCGAGAGCGAATTCTTCCTCCTTGCACTGTTTTGCCAGCCGAAGCCAGCGCAGCCAGCTAGTTCCTATCAGCCCTTGTAGAGCAGAAGACAGAGTATTGGGGAAACAGTACAAGAAGAAGGATTCACCCCCCCTCCCTGACCCAGAGCCAGGGCCCCAATCCAAATCCAAGTCCATGCACCTGCTTGTGTGTGTGTGTGTGCCTGGAAGTCATGGTTGATTTCTGGCGACCCCTAGTGGGGCCTGGACGTTTCAGAGAGGTGGCTTGCTATTGCCGGCCTCTGCGTCCCGGTCCTGGTATTCCTCGGAGGTCTCCCATCCAAGTACTTGCCAGGGGTCAGCCCTGCCTAGCTTCCGAGATCTGATGAGATCAGGCTTGCCTGGGCTATCCAGGTCAGGGCCACGCACCTGCTTTTTAATGCTGAAAAACACACAAGAAAGATCCAGTCACCTAAATGCCGAAGACTTCTACAGCTCGTAGTGCCAGCCCTTAATAGTAAAAAAGCAGGGCAACTGGGTCTCTCTGCCCCCAAACCAAGAGTCCAAAGGGTCACTCTGACCCAGCTGGGCCATCATCCCACAAGCACTCCCCCCTCACCAGTAGAGCTTGGAGCGTTCCACCAGGGCATACGTATCTCCATCGCCAATGAACGTCTGGCAGTTCAGGCAGCTGAAACACTCGGGGTGGTACTTCTGGTCTCCAGCCACCTGGAAAGGAGACAGATGGGTGTGAACTGGGCAGCTGTGTCTGCTCCAGGGCTTCCTTCTCCAGCTCTGCAGTTGACGTGGGCCCCGTGGCCTGCTTCTGTGGGAAGCCAGTCGGCAGAGCCGGCAGCTCCCCCCCAGGAGCTGAAACATACAGCCGGCAGAGTCACGTGATGGAGGTCTTGCTAGACTGTGCCAATGCAGTGGCGTCGAGGGGTGCGGAATCACATGTTTAAATGCTCTCCCATGCAAAAATACCTCCAATCATACAAAACCAGTGTGCCAGGGAAAGGTCTAGCTTTTCTCCATTCATTCGCAGGGAGTTCATGTGAAACACGGGGGGTAGCGGATTTCAAGCTTTCAGTCCCCCCCCCACCTGCAGCGTCAAGCGTCCCAATCCTGCAAGAGTCACCACTTCCGATTCTATTAACCACATGCTCAAGCCAGTCCCACACAGCATCTCTCTTCCCCCAACCACCACACAGCTCAGCACAGGAGGCCATGACTCCCCAGGGCCACACACAGACGGCAGACGGACCCAAAAGCTCTCAGGCAACTAGGGCAAGCAAGCCAAGCTGTATGACTTGGTGCACTTCGGGAGGAAGCTCTCCTGCCCCCTTCTGAACAAGCATACCATGACTACCCTTGATCTCAACCAAAAGGCCAAGAAGTGACACAAACGTACCATGATGAGTCCTTTGGCTATCTGTTCTGAGCAGCCATGGCACAGCTCTCCAAAGAGAGCCCAATAGTCTTTCTTGCAGTAGAGACGGCTGTCCTTCTCGTAGTACTGGTGCGAGAGTGAGGCTCCGCATTCGCAGCACCTGTGGGTGCACAGAGAAAGAGACGTGTCAGTCTTCAGAACTTTGATGGAGAGGGTGGTGCTCCACTCCATGGGCTAGGGTGACAGGCACACAGGCACATGACCTGCTCTTCCAAAACTGAAGCCCAAGGAATGGTCACACTACCTCAGACCAATCTAGCACAACATTTTGCTGACTCTAATAGTCATTTGATGCTTCTTCACTCCTTGTATACTATTCCCAACTTGATGAACCAGCATATACTCCCTCTCTTTGAGAGCCAGTTCGGTGTACTGGTTAAGAGCGGTGGACTCTAATCTGGAGAACCAGGTTTGATTCCCCACTCGTCCACATGCAGCTGGCCAGGTGACCCTGGGTCAATCCCAGTTCTCTCAAAGCTGTTCTTTCAAGAG